CAGCTGTCGTCGCTATCGTCATCCTTAGCTCTTTCCCCTCAACTCATTTCCCTTTAGCTCGTCTTCTTCTCTAGCTTCGCAACTTCGCCGTCCAGTTGCCTTTCCCACAGCTTGCCTCCAGCTGCATTTCCCACAGCTCATCTCTCCGCCTCTCTAGCCGCCGCTGCCAGCTGCTATCTCTTCCGAATTTCATCTATAAGGTTTTTTTTTTGGGCAATTTTTTAGCTACTTTTTTGTACTTAATTATTTTTAGCTTCTAATTTTTTTACAATTTTTTTATTTTCTTTTCCTACTATTCTTTTTTTTCTTTTTAAGTTTATTTGTTGGGTTAAATTTTGATTGTTACTAATTATTATTTATTACTTAATTAGTTTTTTTTATTACAGCTTGCCTCTTGTTATTTTTTAAGTTTTTTTAAATTTTTTTCTTCAAAGAATTATACTATTGATTGTTGATTAGAGTTAATAGTTATTAAAATTTCAATTAAAATTTACTTAAATTAATCAAATTGAGAGTTTGGTGCTTGGGAAATCTCAATTTATAAGTTGTTATGCTGTCAATTTTTTTTTAAATTTTCATGATATTAATTTCTTTATGTTTAGTATAATTAATTTCTTTTTAAGTTTGTTTGTTGGGATGAATTGTGAACCCCATATCAGAAATTATACTATTGATTATTGATTAGAGTTGATAATTATCAAAATATAAATCATGGTTTACTTAAATTGATCAAATTGAGGGTTTAGTGCTCGGGAAAATCTCAATTTACAAGTTGTTATGCTGCCAATTTTTTTTTAAATTTTCATGATATTAATTTCTTTAGGTTTAGTATAATTAATTTCTTTTTAAGTTTGTTTGTTGGGATGAATTGTGAACCGCATTATCATAAATTATAATATTGATTATTGATTAGAGTTGATAATTATCAAAATATCAATCATGATTTAGTTAAATTGATCAAATTGAAGGTTCAGTGCCCGAGAAAATCTCAATTTACAAGTTGTTATGCTGTCGATTTTTTTTTTAAATTTTCATGATATTAATTTCTTTATGTTTAGTATAATTAATTTGTAGTTGAATAATTGATATTTTTAAAATTTCTTGAAATTGGCATTTTAGTAACATTAAATTGATAGAATTGAAGGATTTAGTATCTCAAAGATCTCGCTTTATAAATTGTTATGATGCCATAGTTGGATAAGATCTTGCTTTTTTAGAATAGGTAATGATGAACCGTAGTTAGATAGATGCTTTGCGAACAAGTGATGAATATGAGAAAGGGGTAGATCAATTTTTGGAATTTACAAAGAACAATGTTCCTAATAACAAAGGATTGTTCTATTGTCCTTGTGTTAAGTGCTTGAATAGGTTGCAACGAAGTTCTATAGAGATTAAGGATCACCTAATTTGTTTTGGGTTTTACAAAGCATATAGACAGTGGGTATTGCATGGTGAATCTAGAAAATGTAGTACACCACAAGTTGAGAATGATGATATGGATTTTGGTGATCAAATAAAGGATATGTTATGTGACATTGGCATTGAAGCTGTTGAAAAGGTGCACAAATATGATAGCTTGTGCACTGATTCAGAAACTCCTTTGTATCCAGGGTGTACAAAATATGCATGACTGACAGCGATGCTAAAGTTGTTCAACTTGAAAGCCAGATATGGGTGGAGCAATAAAAGTTTCATAGAGTTGCTTAAATTATTGAAAGAGATGCTTCCCAAGGGTAACACACTTTCAAGTAGTTACTATAAAGCCAAAAAAATATTATGTCTAATGGGTTTAGGATACCAAAAGATACATGTTTGCCCTAATGACTGTATATTGTACAGAAATGATTTTGAAGTGTTGGATGTGTGCCTAGTTTGTAGGGCATCATGTTACAAAGTAAAAGAAATAGACGGTAGTGATGATTCCATTACTAAGAGGCGTCCAGCGAAGGTATTGTGGTATCTTCCTATAATACCGAGGTTTAAGTGCTTGTTCACCAATCCAAATGAGGCCAAGAACTTGCGATGGCATGTTGATGAGAGAAAAATTGATGGCATGCTCTGGCATCTAGCCGATTCTCCACAATGAAAAGGAATTGATCAAACATTTCCTGAATTTGGCAATGAGCCTGGAAATCTTAGGCTTAGACTATGTACAGATGGCATGAATCCTTATGACAATCTTAGTAGTCAACATAGCTCGTGGCCTATTCTGTTAGTGATTTATAATCTTCCTCCATGGTTGTGCATGAAACGTAAATATATCATGCTGTCTTTGATGATTTCAGGCACTAAACAATCAAGAAATGATATAGATGTTTACTTAGCACCATTGATTGAAGATTTGAAGATGATGTGGGAGGTAGGTGTGGATGTGTTTGATTTATATCGAAATGAGTCTTTCAAGTTACGAGCTATGATTTTTTACATAATAAATGATTTTCCTGCATATGGAAATCTGTCTGGATATAGTGTGAAGGGCATAAAGCATGCCTTATCTGTGAAGAAAATACATCCCATTAACAACTAAAATATGGGAAGAAGACAGTTTATCTTGGTCATCAAAGATTCTTGAGACGAGACCATCCTTATCGTAGGCAGAAGAAATCATTCAATGGCTATCAAGAGTATGATGAAGCTCTAAAGCGATTAACTACAAGCTTGGTTTATGAACGGGTCAAAGACATTAATGTAGTATTCGGTAAAAGCCAGAAAAAGGAAGCTCAAAAGAATCCATGGAAGAAGAGGTCAATTTTTTTTTATCTCCCTTATTGGAGCACCCTTGAGGTGAGACACAATATTGATGTGATGCATGTAGAAAAAAAATATATGTGACAGTCTCATTGGAACACTGTTAGATATAAAGGGGAAGACCAAGGATGAAGTCAAAGCAAGACTAGACTTACTTGACATGGGAATACGAACAAACTTGGGTCCAAGAGTAGAAGGAAAGAAGACTTATATGAGCCCAGCTCCTTATACTTTGTCTAAAAGAGAGAAAAGAAGATTTTGCTAGTGTCTACATGGTGTTAAAGTGCCACAAGGATATTCTTCAAATGTCAAGAACCTTGCATCAATGAAAGATTTAAACTTGGTTGGTTTGAAGTCTCACGATTGCCATGTACTAATGCAATAATTATTACCAGTAGCTATTCGAGATATTTTAGAGGAAAAGGTGAGAAAATCAATCATTAGACTATGTGTCTTTTTCAACACAATTTGCAATAAAGTAATTGATCCTGAGAAATTAGATAAGTTGCAAAATGATGTTGTCATTACCTTGTGTCAATTAGAAATGTATTATGTTCCCTCCTTTTTTGAAATCATGGTACATTTAATTGTACATTTAGTGAGGGAGGTAAAGTTTTGTAGTCCTGTCTATCTACGTTGGATGTATCCATTTGAGCGGTACATGAAAATTCTTAAAGGCTATGTGAAGAATCCCCATCATCTAGAAGCCTCTATTGTTGAAAGATATGTTGCTGAGGAGGTTATTGAGTTTTGCACTGAATACCTATCTGAAGTCAAATCTATTAGTGTTCCCGAATCTTGCCATGAAGGAGTGAGAGTTAAAGGGCAAGGGACACGAGGCATGAAAGTAAAGCGCATGACTCATGAAGAAATGCAACAAGCACACTTGTACATCTTGAATAACACAAATAATGTGCAAGATTATTTGGATACACACAAAAAGGAATTACGAGATCAGTATGCTAAAAAGGTTGATAAATGGTTGCTAAGTGAGCACAATAGACATTTTTTACTCTGGTTTAAGACGAAGGTAAAGGAAGATCGTAAGAAGTCTAATGTTTAAGAAGCAATAAGATGGTTAGCTAGTGGGCCTAGCTTTGATGTTACTATTTGGAGTGCATATGACATTAACGGATATTCATTCTACACAAAAATATAGGATGACAATAGCACCATGCAAAATATTAGGGTAATGGTAGTAGCTGAAGCAACTCATTTTTCTAGTGCAAAAGATAAAAATCCAACATTGACATCCTCATCATATTTTAGGGTCATTGAAGAGATATGGGAAGTTGACTACTTCAAATTTAAGGTGCCTATTTTCAAGTGTAGATGGGTTGATATTAAGAATGGTGTTCAAGAAGACAAGTTGGATTTTACTTTAGTGGATCTTAATAAGGCAAAATATAAGGATGAGCCTTTTATAATGGCAACTCATGCAAAATAAGTTTTTTATGTCATTGATCCAACTGATAAGAGGTTATCTGTGGTTCTATTAGGAAAAAGTCTCCTTAGTCATGGTGAGAATGATAAAACGAGTTTTGATATTGAAGAGATTCCTCCTTTTATGCCAACCTCGCCCCTATTGGATGTGGAAGATGAAGATGACATATATGATGTTAGAACTAATCATGACGAAGTTTCATGGGGGAACTAAAATATTTTTATAATGGTAATAGAATATAATAGGACTTTTCTGATATATTTGATTTTATTTTTTATACTTTCATTTTTACATTATTTTAAATTTATTATATTTCTTGCCACTGACTTTATTCATCTTATTTGTTTTAGGAAAATTATGGAGAATCCAATAACTGATAAAAAAAATTCTAAAAGAGTTAAAAGAGGGGCCACACGACTTACTAAGTTGGCTCAAATTCATGAAAAAATTCATCTTGATTTTGATGATAATGGCCAACCAATTGATAAGAAACAAGGAAACATATTTAAAAGTTTTGTGGGTTTGGTGGCATGTCAAAAAATCAGCATCTTGGAGGAAGAGTGGGATGATGTCAATGAAAGTGACAGAAATGATGTTTGGGAATCTATACTGGTATTTCCTATTGCTATACGTTATATCTATTTTTTTAAATATATATTGTTATTAAATTCATTATTGATATGTTTATTTTGTAGATTACTTATGACATCAAGAAAACTCCATTTTTAAAAGACAAGTGGTTAAAGTATGTTGGGGACCAATGGAGGGACTTTAAATCCAAGCTTACTAGAAAATATGTCTTTCCTAAGAATGGCAACGAAAATGATGATAGTGACAATGATGCCAACATAGAAAAACCTTGGGAGAAATATCCATTTATTGATTATGACATGTGGATAAAATTTGTTCACAGTAGACACGATCCCAAGTTTTTAGTAAGTAAAGGAAGAATATGACAATTTATTTAATGTTAGTGAAGATTTATTTTTAACAAATTCTTTTCATTATTTTTTAATAGGAAAAAAGTCAAAAAGGTCAAGAGCGTCGAAAGAAAAATCTATACAACCATACTGTGTCTCGAGGAGGGTACGCATATATTTATGATATAATGAATCAAGAGAAGTGGGAAGCTAAAAGACAAGCAGCGGGAGTTGATAATATTGAAGAAGTTTCTCCTCCATCTCCTGTTAATCGTGCTCAAGCATGGAAGAGAGGACGGATGAATAAAAAGGGAAAGTTTATTTCCTCGGAGGCTAGAGAAGTAGCTGAGAAAATTGTAAGTATTTTTACAGTCAATATCTTAATTATATAATTGAAATTTATTATTTACACTAATTTCTACTTACTTGCATGTTCCAGGATGCTCTTACAGAAGCATCATCCGAGGGGACCTTTGTGTCTATTGGTAGAAAGGACAAATTGACCATGACCTTAGGGAGTGAAGAGCACTCTAGTCGTGTTAGGGGGGTTCCTAAAGGTATGGGTATAAGACAATATTTTAGACCTCCACCTTCTAATCTTGTACCAATCCAGCAAGTGCAAATGATGATAGCAGAATGCAAGTCAAGCATGACAATGGAAATTCAATCAATGATTAGTAATTTGCAAATGCAACCACAATAAACATCGAATTATGGTGGTGCTACAGAGCCAGTGTGTGATCTTAGTTTATCAAATCAAGGAATGCCATGCATACTTTATGTGAAGGATCATGGAAAACGAGTAGTTGCATATGGAAAGGTGTGTAACCATGCAACTACAGTCCACCATCAACATATACAACATAACCAAGTAAAGGTGATGGTTGAAGAGGTTGTGGATGCTAATGCTCCTGTACTATTTCCTACTGAGGAGGTGGAAACAATAGGACAAGCTCAACATAATTTCATTATTTGGTTGAAAAAGCTAGTTCGACAAGTTACTGAAGAGGTATGAAAATATTATAATTTTTTAATTTTTTAATTAATAACATAGGTATTTCTAATTTTTATTATATGTTAATTATAGAAACTCTTACAATCAAAAGAATTTTTGGGTTCCAATTCCCAACCAATGCAAGATGATTTGAAATGATTGGCTTCAGTGGTGGTTGATGTGAATGAATTTTCTGATGAAATTAACGTGATCAAAAAGATTGTTGGGAAGCCTATTACTTTTAGAGTTACCAAAAAAGATATTAGTGACCTCATTATTTTTGAGTGGTTGGACTTGTCAATAGTTCAAGTTTTTATCATGTAAGTATTCTTTTTTATTTCTAAATTAATATTTGATATTTTTATTTTATTACTGACATATGTCTAATTATCAAAGGTACCTTCACAAGATATGCACTGAACTCGGTGTCGATGAGAATTATGGGTTCTTATCTCTACTTTTAACCTCCATTGGCAAAGTGAATCAAAGAGCTTCTTATATTGGAAAGACGATGTGTAAGCAAAAGAAGACATGCTGGTTTTTACCAATTATTGAGAGGTATCAAATTTTAAATTCGTTGTTCAATTTATAAAAATATTTGCTTAATAATGTGATATTAATATAAATTAATATATTATAGTTATCATTGGATGCTTCCTGTCATTTGCCCGTATGAAAATACTATATACTGGTTTTGTTCACTGAAAAGGAAAGTAAGTGACGACATGAAGTCTTTGATTGAATTGTAAGTTTTTAAATAATTCCATTATGTTATTAATAATATATATTTAATATTTTCTAAGTGTGTATATTTAATAAATAGATCTTTAGCGACATATTGGAAATTAGCGAGAATGGTTGACAAGAAAAAAATGAAATCAAATTTGTACCAATGCAAGTAAGTATTTCAAATTTATTCCTTAATTAGAATGAACATTATAATATTGGTTTAATGAATTTAATTATTTCTATTTTCTTTATAGTGTACGTCCTCAACAACTAGGAAGTGTAGAATGTGGTTATTATGTGATGATTTTTATGTATGAAATCATCACTCAAGGTATTGTTCACTCATTTAATCAGGTAATAATTTATAAATAATGATTTATAATTATGAAGTTTTCCATATACTTGAGTTATGATTCATACATATATTGTTATTGAATTTGCAGCACTTCCAAAGTTTAGAGCCATATTCTAAGCAAAAGTTGAGACATATACACAATTTGTGGTCTAGTTTTTTCTTAGAATTAACAGGATTGGAGTAGAAACTTTCTAGATATTTTGTATTGGAAATATAAGTTTAGTTCATGTACCGGACATATTTGTATTGGTCTTTGGAGCTGCTATTTCTTAATTAATATAGGTTTTGTAAGTAAGGGAATGTATATAGATATAAGTGTACGAGTAAAAAAAAATTATATTTACGGCCACAGTTGTTACACTAACTATGGTAAAAAGCCATTTATGGCAACAGTTATTGATAGAACTGTGGCCATAAATGAGCTATAGAATAATTTTTCGCCATAGGTGGTCTCGGACTTGTGACAAAAGATCGTCTCGGATCTGTGGTGAAAGATCTCATCTTTCACCACAGGTCCGAGACCACCTGTGGCGAAAAACTATATTTTTCGCCACTGTGTTTTTCGCCACAAGTGGTCTCGGACCTGTGGTGAAAAATCTCATTTCATTTCTTTGTTATGATGAGAGCCTTTGATTCAACAAACAAATAAATGGGGTTAGCTATGATATCGCCAAAGAAAGTTATTGGAATTAGGTTAAATAACATTATGTGAATGTAATGATGAAGCACACAAGAAAGTCTTCGCTCGCATTTACAATGTTGGAGAAGATGTTGGTGCATTTATCAACTTGTTGGAGAAGATACAAAAGCACATTATTGTCCCACTTCTTCTATGTCATGGACATGAGTTTACTTGACTTTGAAATACAACACTCTTTAATTATAAAATCAAATTTATTCTAAGAATTGTTAGAGATCAGTGTGTGCCATAGTCAAATTATTCTAACAAAAAGGAATCAACATACTATTGTGCATCGTTTTTCCACAACACAAGTATTTGGTTCATCTTGACTAGGAAAACTATATATAAAGTATGAATTTTCACTATTCATGACTTTTGTTTCTCTGTGGCCTTACTAATGAGGTGTGTAAAAAGACAAGAAAACACCCCAATTCATAGAACATCCACATTACCAATGAAATGACTAAAATAAATATTCATAAATTATTTTTATTCCATTAACCTATTATTTTTCCATTTCTTTATGCCAGGGGAAGAATCATGTTGAATGTAATTGGCCCTTACACCTCTTTCACATTAATTGCCACTTTGGTTTAGTCCCCCATCCAACAATGACCTACTCCTTACTTTTCCAATATTGTGTATCATACGTATTATAATTAAAAAAACCCACACGCACATATTATAAACTATATAATTCTTCTGTGCATTATAAAAATGAAACACGAAGAGAAGTCTCATTCATAAAATAAAAGGAAGTCGATCTAATGAGAGCCACAAGATTTCTTCACACCCAGGTCACCTGAAAAAGATTTATTCCCAAATATCTTCATTAAAAAGACATGTAATAATTTTAAAATCTTTCATTATTAACATACAAATGGAGAAACATCTTGATAAATATATTTTATTCATTTAAATGGTTGTGATTTTGAGATTAATTGAAATATTTCACACATTTTCACTTGATTTTATATCTTATCTTTTCATATTTAATTGCATGTTCAAATACAGAAATTTATTATGAATTTCTCCTACCGATCTCAAATAAAATTATAGAATAGTGTTTGGTGTGAACAAATAAGTCAGTAATTGGCCCAGAAAAAAGTGAATATATAAGTCAATAATAGCTTTTGAATTAGCTTTGGTTAATTTACATGCGAAATAACATATATTTTACTCTTTAACAAAATAAAACTGTGAGTTCTTTAATGGAAATATGAATGAAATAAATTCTATGAAAGACTGCATTGTGCCACTGTATTAACGTTACGATAATTTTTTCCTTGTGGTCACAACAATGAGTTGTAAAATGACTAGGCAATTTCCCATCAATGAGTTTTGCAGGCTTAACAAACAGTAATTGGAATTGGAAAATTAATTCTTATTTTGATGTTGTTTTTTCTAAAATAATACATATTTTACTCCATTTAAAGATAATATTTTAAGTATTAATTGGGAAAAATAATGCGCCAACTAGTCAAATTCTAACAAAGAATAATTGTTGTGCCATTTTTCCATGATGTGGTTGAGTTAACCTGGCTTGACCAAAAAAAAAAATATATATATATATAAACAAATGAAAAAACTGTCATAATCCATATGACTTAAAAAATTCTGCATTTACTGAATCTCAATATTTCTGAATACTATTTATATTTCATCAACGCTTCATTATTGTGCCATTTTAACACACGTATGGATTGATTCACTTAAAAAATTTCACCACATCTGTGAGTTGTGAAAATAATCAACACAATCTCATTGATAGAACATAATAATTTTTCCATTAAGGAAATAATTTTAATATGTATTGCATACTTATCTTTAAGCTATATAAAATCATGTTTAGTCAAAAAAAAAAAATCTATCATTCATTTTCAAATCAACTATAGTTTATTTGCAAGAGAAATAAGATGGGTAAATGACATTAGAAAACCAAAAGATTGAATTAAGCTTAAACAAGGACGAAAAGATTTACAACCATCAAAACAATAAATTGTATGTGAAATTTGATAAATTTATAAAAGAAAAACTTATCAAACTTATAATCATTTCTAGTGATCTTCTTCTAGTTAATTTGTGAAGGAAAACAATTTCCAAGTAGTGATATATTTGATAATCTTGTAAGTCATCCTTAAAAAATTTTCAGCTTTTGTTAAAAAATTTATTTATTTATAAATCACAAAAACATTAGTTAAGTTGTAAATTTATGGAGAATATATAAATATCAAAATTTGACTTGTAAAGTGTATGTGAAGATTATTAAATAATAATAAGAGTAATATTTATATTATTAAATATTAAAGTATTAATATTTTAATTAACAAGATATTATTAAAAATATAATATTTTTAATTACTTACTAGTGTTTTTACCTGCAATGATTATTCAATAATTACCTAGTAGCTGGTTAAAATGATTTTTTTGTCTTTTACATGGGTAAGAAATAAAATTAGTCTTTCGTGGTTTATTTATATTTTAGAAAATTTAATTGATATTAATTTTATTGTAGGATATATATTTATAGTTTTTTTGAATCTTTTTCTGCAATTTTTGATGTCCTGTTTTATAATTTTTTGAATATTTTCCATGCACCATTTTTTAAGTGTTGAATGGGACATTATGCCATAAAAAAGTTGGGATATCATCATACCTCTTATGTGAATAGTTGAGAGTTAAAAATATCATTTAACCCAATAAAAAATTAAATTTGATATAGAGCTATTAATGAAAGAAAATGATATTTTATTTTATAATATATATATTTATATATATTGATATAGAAATTTAATTACAAAAAGAATTCCATAAAACATAGCCCAAAAGAATTACAAAGCTTAAAAAGGAATTTAAAAATTTATTTAATTTTCCCATCATAAATAAAAAATATTTAAGTATACGAAAAATGTAATTCAAAAAATAATAGTTAGACTTATCGTTAGACACAATAATCTTTTCACTCTCAGGGATGTAGAGATTTTTCCTTTTATATTTATTATCGATTAGATCATATGAAGCTTAATGTGCATAATTACCGCATGAAACTAGAACCATATTTTCAAGTGCAAGTTCTATGGAGTAAATTCCATGAGAAATTGTTAAAAAAATTGGGAACAAGTTATGATGAAAAAAATACATGAACATTTTGACTTACGTCAACTATCCTCTCTTCTGTCAACTTAATTACTTTGATATGCATCTCCCCAACCCACCCAGTGCTTTTACCCCTTCCAACAAAATCATAGGAAAAAAATTAAGTCTTTGGTTTCAATTTTTTACCGAAGTTATTGAATAGGTAGGTCTCTATAGTTTCTACTTTTAGAATGACTCCCTGAAAGCTGTGCCCAAATATGTTAGACCCTTAAAGTGCAAAAAGTGCATCAGTATTTTCTTTTTCTTGCACAAAAATTAATTATTAACTAAAAAATTGACTTGTAAAATGGTATGTGAAATATTTTAAATAATAATAATTATACTCTCATTATTTTGATCAAAACTACATTTTGACCAATTCCAACTGATCAAATACATACCATTTATTCTTTTTGTTATTATGAGAGCTTTGATTCAACAGACCAATAAATACCACCTAAGAAAGTGATAGAAACTAGGTTAATTGACATTGCATGAATGTAATGATGAAGAGTACAGGAAACTCTTTGCATTTACAATGTTGGAGAAGATATTGGCGCACTTTATCAACTTGTTAGAAAGATACAAAGGCCACATAATTATTGCCCCACTTCGTCCACGCCAAGGACAAATGACCTGGAAATACAACACAATTTCATTAATTATAAAATCAAATTTATTCTAAGAACTGTTAGAGACTAATGTGTGCCCTAGTTGGATTATTCTAACAAAAGACAATCTACATTATTGTGTATTGTTTTTCCATAACATAAGTATATTGATTGTCTTGACTAAGAAAATTATTATAAAATATGAACTGTCACCATTCATGACTTCTATTTCTCTTTGACTATATTAATAAGTTGTGTAAAAAGACAAGAAGATATCCCAATTCATAAAATTCCATATTATCAATGACAATGACTAAAACAAATATACATAACTTATTTTTATTCAACAGACCTATAATTGTGTAATTTTGTTTATGGAATGAGTATATGAATACAAAAAAAAAAAAGATAGCTACCATTTGTAACTTTTTTCCTTAAAACAAAATAGATTGGAGGTCGGTCATTAGTATATTTTAAAGATAAATTCAAATATAATAATAAATAGAATTTACAATATAGTGTGGAACAACTTTGATTGAATTTGAAAGCAAATATAATAGCGCTAACATATTGATATCAATGATAAGTCCCATGAATTGAATTAGTAATAATAATAATAATACTAATAATAAAAATAAAAAATGGAAAATATAAACTTGGTCTGTGACGTTGAATCAATAACTAGTTAACTATGAATTAATGATAATTAATGGATGAATGTGAAAGGGAAAATTAATTATCTGGTCGGGAAAAGATAATTAATTGAACCTGCTAATAAAACATATTTTCAGAATTTTTTGGTCATACTGAAAACATGTTATGAAAATAAGAAGAAAGCAGGGAAGAGACTAGCAAGGCAAGAAGAGTATAGTTCATTCACTTGGGTACCCAATGCTTTGTA